TGGCATCAAAAGCTTTGAGGCTACAGGCGTTCCGTGGCATCGAAAGCTTGACAAGTTGCTCGTCACCGGTGACAAGAACGACCAAGGCAAGGCGACATCCGTTTTTTGCGCTCCTCATCGATATAAGTTATTGACCTCCAAGGGGCTACGGAAGTCTGTTCCTCGCACGGTGAAACTATTATCGCTCTATCGGACAGTCCGCCATCGATAAGCTGCTAGGTGCCTGATTGGAGCATGTGACGGTTCTTTTGTTGCTGTGTTTTCCGGACTGGTCCTCAAAAGTCAGTGGCAGACGACGGTGTGGCGCAGTCCAGCGGGGTGCTAACGATACGTTTAACGCCGATTATTCTGCATTTTCCAGGTAAGAATTTGCTTGACTTGTTTCGTTTCCATCTGTTTCTCGCCTCGCTGGACTGCCTCGTTAACCGAAATGTCGACTGTTCATTGCGCTACCAGTTTGAAGTCGATTCCAGACAATAGCCACAGTTTGAAGTGTGCTGATGCGCGAAGGGTTACCGTGTGGGGGAATGCGCTGGAGTAACAAAGACTGTGCTTAAAACATGGTCTAGCGAAGAACTAAGCATCTAGCTATGTGTAACTTGCAAATCCCGCAAATCTCAGCAGGCAGCACCTTCGGCTACGTGTTCTCAGGATATTGGTCAACGTAGCACAACCGAAAGCTCGGGAGAACCAAATGTAGCGCTTTTGATGAAGCATATTCTGGACATGAGTACCAAACTGACACAAGTTCTAGATCGAATGAATAATTTTGAGAAGTCAATGGAGGAGCAGTCAGGAAAACATGACGCAATAATGGTGAAGTTGACTAACCAAGAAAAAACAGTGGAAGCAATAGAACATTCTTTAGAAATAATGGGCAAGGACTATATTAAACTTCTGGAGAAGGTTACCGTGCAGGAAAGGGAGTTAAAAGAGCTAAAGAAAAAATCCACAGAAATTAAAAGACAAGTCACAAAAAAAAAAAAAAAAAAAACGGAGATCAAGGTGCTCAAAACCGCATAGAAGCTGTTGAACAATACTCCAGAGGGAATAATGTGAAAATTCATGGTATCACTAAGAAAAGATAACGAAAATCTCTTGGAAGTTATCCAACACTTATCTGGCAAACTGCAGCTGCCGTGTCCGGCACCTGAAAGCATAGTAGCGGTGCACAGATTGGGCCAAGAAGAGGGTAAAATAGCACCCATCATTGTTTGTTTCAAAGACAAAGCGGTTAGGGACCCCTGGATTAGACGGTGGAAGGATGTAACTTAACATGTTGCACATACATGTTAGAAGTGTACAAAAGCACTGGGACCAATTAAATGTATATTTACAAAATAGACTAGAATGCTTGGATATATTAATTTTAACAGAAGTATATATTGACTCCACGATGGTAAGTTCTTTCAATTTGACAGGGTTTCAATTGTTCTCGGAGTACAAGGAAGGAAGAAGAGGTGGTGGTATTTTAGTCTTGATAAAACATTCCTGGATGTCCGATCAACTGTCAGTTTCTTGTAACCACGCGGAGGTTTTGGGGCTTTGTGTGTCAAATCGGGAGTACTTTTTTGCAATCTGTGCAGTATAGACCGCCCAGTGCAAACATACCTTGCTTTCTCAATGAATTAACTGAAATCTTTAAACAATTCAATAACAACAAAATCCTTGGTATAGTTGCTGGCGATCTGAACATAGATATAATGGATGCTGCTAAGCACGGTGTGTCTGATTATTTGAATGTACTCGCAGGTTTTGGATTAGAAAATATAATTACAGGTTATGCTAGGGAAGAATACTTGGGATCCCGCATAACAAAGTCATGTATTGACCATATCATTGTTAGAGGAGGTGATCTCAAAATGCTTGCAGGTGTAATTAGACAAAAAGTTGCTGATCATTATTTTATAACTCTGGCGATAATAGGGGTGAGTCCCGAGGAAATTGATCGTGTAGTATACAGGCGCATTCTTGATAACAATAAGATTGACAAAATAATACGAGAATATAACTGGGCTTCCCTCCTTGTTTTTTATCACATTACTACTTACCGGATGTTTGGGAATTACTTGAGGTTGATATATGAAAAGTGTTGGAAAACTGTAAAGATAAGACAAAGAAATCCACAAAATGTCTGGATAAACGACGAAATATTGACACTATGCCGTGAAAAAAGATAGGTCGTGGAACATTTGTAAAGCAAAAACACATGATCCTATAATTAAAGGAGAGTTTAAAAAACTACATAATGAGGTAACTGCCAAAATAAGACTGGCAAAAAATATCATTATACATCTAATTTTAACAATGCGAGGGAAATCCGAAGAAAACTTGAAATTGGATGAAGGGAATTACGGGAAGTAAAGGGAAACAAAATATACTTGAAGCAATTCAAAAAGCTTTTGGTAGTAACAATGTGAGTTTTTTATGCAACCAATTTAACGATTCTTTTGTTCGAAGGATTGCGGATCTGAGAAAAGTACTACAAAATCAAGAAGAATCAAATAGCTCCGAGAATAGCGTGCACTCAGCTTATTTACCTCAAATGACAGAGGTAGATCTTAGGTGCATAATAAACAACATGAAAGCGTCAAAGCCTGCGGGGAATGGCTCCATTCGATAAGGGATATTCAGGAAACTTTTAAGGTATTAAAAGACGTTATAATAAAAATAGTAACCGAATCACTCTCATCAGGGAAAGTTCCCATTGAATTAAAAACAGCTGTTGTGAGACCATTATATAAAAATGACAGTAAAAAAGAAATTATGAATTATAGACCCATTTCAATATTGCCAATTATAGAGCAAATTATTGAAAAATTTGTTTGTAACACAATGACATCGTATTGCGAGAAGTTCTGTTTAATAGATGAGTCTCAGTATGTATTTCGTAAAAATAGAAGCACTGAACTTTTGCTGGAAGATCTTTTAGATTATGTAAAGTACAGTCTTGGTAGGAATCAATTTGTTTTAGCCCTATTTTTAGATTTAACAAAAGCTTTTGAAACTATCAATCATGAGCGGCTATTAATAAAACTGAGGAATATGGGTTCTAGAGGTCCCTTCAACGCGTTTTTAAAAGACTATATTACAGACAAATATCAGTTGGTCAAAATTAGCAAGTTTAAAAGTAGATTAATGTCATTTAACTAGAAAGCACCCCAGGGGTCAATACTGAGAGCCATTTTATTTAATATTTATGTAAACCAAATTGGAACTTTACCTTGTACATCTCGATTGTATCAGTATGCAGACGATACTGCCTTGATATTAGGGAACAGTGATGAACAAAGTGCACTGTCCATTTTTTAGAAAGATATCGAAATGATTATGAGCTGGTTTTCTGCTAATCATATCTTTGTTAATTCCAGTAAGACAAAACTGATGTGTTTTCGTAGTCCGTATAAACATTTACATCTGAGCATTCTGTTATTTCTTCATTCACTGAACTGCACACGTTGCAGTTGTGTAGTATTAGATTATGTTACAACGAAATATTTAGGATTACATCTAGATCAAAATCTCCTGTGGAATGAGCACGTAGAATATCTCATCAAAAGAATGCGTGTTGCCTCGGTTTATTTGTACAGGATGCGTTGTGGTAGCGACAATGCCATTAAGAAGGAGGGTGTATGGTGTTCTGGGTGAGTCTATTCTCCGATATGGTATCTCTTTATATCGAGTGTGTTCTAATTACAAAAAAGAAAAACTTGACAAAATAGTACATAAAATTGCAAGTAATATTACTTATGGAACAACCTACTCAAAGTTGGAAATGAATCGGAAAAGGAATGTCTTGAAGTTGTTATCCATAAAAAAACTGCACTGCTATGTCATTTTAGTAAAGCACTATTATAAGAGCAACTTTATAATCGTATTAGAAAAGGAACGAACACTTAGGCGCATAGAAAGTTTTGTTATTCTGAAGATTGAAACAAATTATGGGGAAAAAACACGTGCCTATTACGTCTCATATTATTTTAATAGGCTTCCAGAAACTTACTATAACATGGAGTCACTGAAGCAAGTAAAATATGAACTTAAAAATTCGTGTTTGAATTTTGAAGTGTGAATTGGCTTTATTGCTTTAGCATTCCACTGAGTTTTGTCTTTTTTCTTCTTGTCTGGTCTTTATTTTCTTTGTGTACCAGTAATGCACACAATAAGAGGGTTTCAGTTAGCAGCCCGCTGGACGCCAGGTCGCACATACAAGCGCACCAGTGCTTTTGCGGGCCTGCATATATATATGTAATATGTTTATGATGTGAATAAAATTTCTTTCTATTATTATTATTATTAACCTGCTTCGTCACCTGGGCGCTGCACTGTTTCGGTTGGGTGAGGAAGAGTTAATAACGCGGTGGTCATGCCACTACGTCCAGCTAGTCGGTGGCCGAATCCATATGTATTTTGCGCCTCTAGCAAAGGTGTGAGACGCGGGGATGGAGGGGGGATTAGTTGATCGGGCGTTACACCCAGCAGAGTTCTGCTTTGGTTTGCTTAGATGCTATAAGTACGCCCCTGTCTGGTATGCTATTTCAGTGTTTGTTGCTTCCCCGCACTCTATCTTGTAGTGCCCATGCTTTTGTTAGTTTCCCTGTTTCCCGATTTGTTTCATAGTTTTACAGTGCTCACTCTTAATAAACGTTTTCATAAACCGAAGGAACTCCTTTCCCATAATTCCTCAAGCGCGGGCCGGGGCACTTGGGGAATTTAGCAAATGGTGTATTAGACCACTAGTTCTAGCTGGATTTTAATCACTCAGATATGCTCGCATGCGGCTTGGACTCTCGCATAGAAATATGTTCTAGAGATAGGCTCTCCGTTGGCGTGACTATTTACCCGATTGCTTGGTTGCCCTAAACTGGGTCATACCGAAAATGGCAGTACAAACAATGTTTTTCTTTTTTTTTTTCCTTTATCAAGACTGATAAAAACGCGTTGTCAACAACTCGCTGGGGCCAGAGTGCATAGAACCTGCGTCCTATATTTTGGCCGTGACTTCGTTCTCAATTTTATTTCCAGGCAAAAGCGTCTTGACAGACCCCAGGTTATGGCGGCGAGGGCGTACGAAGCCGGTAAGCTGAATTCCTCAAAACGATTCGTTCATCTTTTCAAACTCACCTATTTATTTTATTTTTTGTCATATAGTACACCAAGCGAAATACCGACAAATCTTAGTTCTTTGCACTTTATTTCCAAAAAAAGGTACATAATTTAAAAATAGTAGTGACAAAAGAGTTAGTCTTTAGTAGATCAAATACGGCAAGTGAGGTTTGATTTCTTGGTGTATAAGTTCCCTCACCCTCTTTTACGCGGCACGACCATTATTTGCATGCCAACACCAGTTTCTGCTACAATTTTGCACGCTCAGTGTGTAATAGACTGACCGTCCGTATCATAAAACTTAAGTTGTAGAGGTATCAGGCAGCACCGTCGTTTGTTATACGCTAGAGTCATCACTCACGTTCTTTTGTAGACAATGTGTTTTCTTTTAATTACCGCAATCCAGTGCATCCGGCAACCTACAAGCTTAGTGCTGGATGATCATACAGATGTCCCTCTGACGCCAAAGTGATTGCAGCAAGGTCTGTAAGCATTGCCGGAGGGCAAAAACTGAGCTCCACAATAATATCTAAATAAAAAGATACTTTGTGCGTAAGCATCTCTTTTGTAAATTCCAGAAAAAAAAAAAAAAAAAAGAAACGCGGCTAAAGTTTTGGTGTTTAATTCTCTTCTCAGGGATGGCTTTCCCAGCTCTAACTCCAGGGAAGATTCGTCTTTACAGTATGCGGTTTTGCCCGTTTGCCCAAAGAGACCTCCTGATCTTGACTGCAAAGCATATTGAGTGAGTATTACATGTTACATACATGGCTGCCGTTGATGAATTAATTATACTTTGATTACGGGCATGCCCATGCTATGGGTAGGATACCAACTTGTATCAAGAATATTTTTGTAGCGTAATCGTAAAATTTGAAGGAAGCGCGTAACTTTAAAGCAATTGTTTTGTGGGAATGATCGCACAAACAAAATGTGCATAGGTCCTTTTGTCTATCAAAGTTTTATATTGTCGTGGAGTGCCGCAGTCAATTGCCTGAAAATGTGCTTTTGTGTATCCATTTACTTTTATTGACTCTGGGACGGTTGTTTAATGCTCATAAACAGGTTTAGGCGAGGCACTCAAAATATACTGGAAAATAAACGAAGGAAAATATCGTACCCTAGCATCGTCGATTCCTTCATTGCATGAGCTAACATGCAATTCTAACCTGCGCCGTACACATTTATTTGTTAGATGGGTATATATGTTTTTTACAAGGACGCCACCATCTTCCAATCGCGGCTCCGTCGACGCCATTAAGGGGTTTTGCACTGTAATACTTACAGGACCTAACTGGGGGTGGGCAACGTTGTACGTATGTGGAGACCTTGCCTATGCTTGACTATAGTTAGGGCTCCGTGTTTTCGGATAAATCCGAAAAACTCCGAAAAACATCCGCCGGTAAACTTTTTGTCAATTCGTATTTATCCGAGAAACTCCGAATTGTTGTATGCCCATGCAACCCCCCCCCCCCCCCCCCCCCCCCGCAAAAAAAAAAAAAGAAGTTTTTTTTTTTTTTTTACAATTTGAGCAGCGCAGGATTAATGGTCCTGGGAAAATGACACCATAATTACCTTTCAAGCATCGGACCGTTGTCAAAATAGGGGTCTTACTGCTTGTCTCGTCAAGGTTGGTTCAGGGAAACAGGTCATCGTACCATTCGTGTCACGACAAAAGCCACTCTTTTAGTTTCCAGTTTTGGGCCGTGGGATTTGGGATTTAGAGAAAGGAGAGGGTATGTTTCTGGGGGTAACAGTGGAAGCTATGGACCATAGAGATTGTATAAAATAGGGAAGAAAGGCAGTTGCAACTTCTCTATTACATCCTTAACCACTCCACCTTGCGTGGTTGCGGGATAGATGGATGGGATGACCACGAGCTTCCTTGCGGCTACTTCCGGCAGTTTGAGTTTAAGATATCGACGTTTATCGAGGCCACAATTGTGTGCGACTTTTGTCGTGGGACAAATTATTATTGCCAATGACACCAACGCCAAATTCAACTGAAGAAATCTTAATTGATGCAAGCGCGTTTTATTTTTTATCTGGCATACGTTTGCATCCGGTTATCATTTATTATTTTTTAGTAGGAAACACTGCGAAATTAATCTCCAAATTTCGGAGAATTGGGGATTTACGAAAAATAAACTCCGATAAACACAGAATTTTCGCTAAAAAATAAACTCCGAAAAACACCCTCCGAATTTCACGAAAAATAGACTCCGAAAATACGGAGCCCTAACTATACTCCATCTCACTTTCTGATGGACCGCAGCGGACGTTACGAGCCATCAAATCCTGCCCAGTGTCATGTGAGTGCCACGTGACCTTTTGAAGTGGCGCAACGACTTGCTAGGGGCGTAGTCGCGTGGTATGTATACCCATGGCTTGATTAATTGCGTTTGCTCGCAGCGTCCACTGCTGTCTAACGTAAAATGAGACGAAGTATTCGAAACTCCAATGCTCTATAGACCTTTTCAGAAATCCTCTGTTTGCCGCCATTTCGCGACCCCCGCCTGAGCTGTGGAAACCCGGTCAGCGCGACTCCCCACCTGCATTGTGTATTCGGAGTGCGCCGGCTTTCCTCGGAGGCTTTTACTTTATTTGCCTGTTCAGTATGCTTGCCTTTTTTGTGCCATCTTCCGCTGTGAAAACAAGGGATTTCCAGGGTTCGTAGCCTGCTCGGCCTTCGCACGAAACGAATAAAGAGAGCGAACGTCAAGCAGCCCGCGACGCGGGCCGTTCGACGTGCTTTGAGGATGAGGATAATCTCCGAAAAGCATTCCAGGCTATGTTCCGGGTCTTCGCGAAAAACAGCTGACAAGGTTGGGTCCGGGGTGTGGGGACCGAATAGACACGTTCGTTAAAAGGACCATAAAATTACCTTTTTACTTTTGCCAAATAACTTTCACATTAAACCTTCAATCAATGTTCACTGAACGCCGAACAGGCATCCGTTTTCGTTTCGGTTTATTAACTTCTACATGAAAAAAATATTAAAATATCGAGTTTTCCTTCCTTTTCAACTCACCGCAAAACAAGCCGCGCCATAGTACGTCACGGTCGTGACGTACTATGGCACTGGGCAGCAGGGGAATGGGAGCGTTAGCGACGAGCTGGCGGTGTGCCGGTAGGTTTTACCCATGTTTTTACTGCGCTGATGGCGCCGACGCTACCGTCGTATTTTCTGAATAGGCGCTTCTCACCCTCGCGGCAGCTATGGAAACATCGCAGCTGAGCAAAATTCAATTAGATATGTTGCGCTATAGCGACCACATGGGACTGGTCCCATACGCCGGTACGAAGCGCTGCAGGTCGTCAGCACAACGGCCGCTTCTCCGCCGCCGTGAGCCGTTTCCGCGGTATCTCTAAAAAGAAGGGGACGCGCTGTCCCTCCCTGGCGTGGCAGAAAATATACAAAGCTTTCTATGGGCTCAAGCTTTATTGACTTTTATTTTGTTAGGATAGGCTCGCAGGGCAGAGTGGATGAAAAAAGAAAGGAAAAATATGCACTACGCCGTCTTGGACGATCGCGGCTTTAAAACACGATTTTACTGATAGTACACATCTCGCCACACACCGTTTTTACGATTGCAAAAGGCAATGTAATTTTAGCAGAGATATCGCAACGTAGAAATAGAATTTCGTGATCACAAAGACGTTGCGATTGTTCAAAAAATACTATCACTAATCACTTTTCGCGGGTGATGAATACGCTTCCAAATTCGAATCCTTCATACATGCCTTTAAATACAGTATGCACCAGTAATATCTTGAACTTGAGCACACGCATGGAATGCGCAACATAAAAAATCCGGGCGATGTTCGAGGAGACAAATGGTAAGAAAGCACCACTGTAGACGGCGGCACGAGCGTTACTGCTGTCTTGATGGTGCCGCCACAACATCGCCGCACGAGTAGATGGATGTTTCCTTCAAGGATGTGCTGGGTTACCATCGTGACACGCAACGGGAATTTAGTCAAACATAGCGCTTTACGCGGAACGATGAGCTTCCACTCCGCCGACCACGTCGACATACATCACCGACACCATGCTTTTTAGCAGAGCAGGAACTGCGACTGGGCGCAGGGGCAGACTTAACTTTCTCTTACTTCGTATTCCACACGATAGATGGCAAATAGCTCCGAACATTATGAAAGTCGGCAAATTCCGTCACATCGCTAATTATTGAAAAAAATGTGTATCAGAATATTCTTTAACAAAACTTTTAGGAAACATTCGCCGGCTATTTATTGTTTATGATCGCGGTGCTGGTGTGGTAGTCTCTTATCCAATAGGCAACGTGGATTTGGCTGACGTGCCGTGGCACCGCGGATGCATCGCAGTGAAAAGGCGAAGAGCTTTTGAAGCAAAGAATGTGTAAAATAGTTAGCTTTTCTTTCAAAAGTTCTATATAGAAAAAAAAAAACAATTTTAGCTCTCTATCTTTGTGTTATTTTTTTACACCATTTACGACGTGCGGAAGATGAAATTCCATTTCAAAATTGTTTCATGGTCTCTTCAATTCACTTTGATGCTATGCAAAGAAGCAGCTCTCTTGAAAAAGTGCCCCAAAACAAGCCGGATTCTGTCCGATTGTCTTGAAGTGACTATCGCTGTCGCTGCATATTGGATCTCCTGGGTTTTTTGCAGACTTCTGCCTATCTCAAATACTCTACTGTATCTCAAATACTTTTTCAAGTATCTTGGTATCGTGCAAATACCTTTGATCGAGAGTATTTGATACTCTATTTTAATTACAATTCCGAATATCTTGTACTCATTATCTCAAATATATTTTTGACATTCCGCCATTTTCCGAGTTTTTCGGTATGAAGTGGCGTGGGCGTGGCACGAGCAAACTTAAACATTATTTAGAGCTACCAAATCTTCTTGCTAACTCCGATAAGCTACGATGACTCCAGCCGAACGCTGACGCCGCGTTCGGTAAATTCAGCCGAGCGCTGAGTCATCGTATTTGTTGTCCCCATCCATGTACCTCTAAGGTTAACTGCTTGAGGCGCCACGGTCTGATCTCCTCTAAAACCCCTGTATAATCTCCTCCCCAATAGTTAGAGCGCCCTCTTTCTTGTGGTCCGAGAAATGTTTTGTAACGTCTATCAGTGATATTGCCACGCGCGTTGCCCAGCGAACGCGTGGCCGAATGCTTACCGCTTTTGGCTGCCACGTGGAGGTTCTCGCGCGGGAGCTCCGGGTTCGATACCAGGGAGCGGACTCCTCTTTTATTTATTCTTTCAACTTGACATTCTCGTAAGTTCGAGAACCTTGTCGTCTGATCGAGTTACGAGTGTTCTACGCGCGGAACTTTCTACGCCGAATGTTCCAGAAACCCACGCGTGTACAAAAGGTGCTCCGAGTCTCGTCCCAGCGCTTGATCATGCTGTTTCGCCGTCATCGACGCCTGAGACGCTACCCTTTTCTACATTGTTTTGGGCACAAGTTCGCCTCATTAAACTTTTAGTTTCTTCAGTTATTCGCTACCTCATCATTTGTCATCCGTGACAATATCCTGCTCCTTGTTGGATTGCATAAAATAGTCCTACGATACTTTTTTTTTCTTTTTCCGTTTCGTGTTGTTGCGTGCTAATAAACCATTCTGGTAACCAAGATTTGCGCAGCTGTATAATTGTTGCTGTCACTGACGTCGATACAAATTACGCAATGCGGAAGTATCTTCAAAAGTAACTGAATTACATTTCTAAGTATTTGTACTCTACTCAAGATGCTCTACAGGGAAAGTAACTTGAGTAGTATTTTAAATACTTTTTAAAGCAGGTATTTAGTAACTTAACTTAAATACTTTTATCGAGTATTTCGTCCAACACTGTTTTTTGAGACCTTCCTCAAATCCTGTTCGGATAACGCGGCACCGTGGGCTACGTACAATATATGTTGTTCGATCGATGAGACCCGCTGAATTTCATGTTATTCTGTGTGGTCAAATACTGATACGGCTGAGTGTATGGTGCCCTGAAAAGATACTTAAAATGAAACAAACATTCTAGTTGCATTTGTTCTGTCGCGCACGGACTCGCCGAAATAGTTTTCATTTGTTTGTTTTAGAGCGCAGCTCTTAGGCATCCGTTTCCGGCTTGAGTGGCGTCGCCGTCGCCGTCGGCGTAACCACGCGGTCCATTATGGGTAAATTTCCCTGCTAAATTTAGCGGAAAACTTTCCCCGCTAAATTTAGCAGAAAATTTTCCCCGCCAAATTTAGCGGAGAAATATTTTCCGCTAAATTTAGCATAAAAAACTCCCCGCTAAATTTAGCCAAAAAAATCCCCGCTGAATTTGGCGGCAAAATTTCCCCACTAAATTTAGCGGAAAGATTTCCCCACTAAATTCAGCGGGAAATTTTCCCCGATAAATTTACCAGAAATATTTCCCCACCAAATTTAGCAGAGAAATATTTTTGGGCTAAATTTAACATTTAAATTTAAGTGGGCGTCCCCCAGTGTAACACCTCATCTTTCAATGCCTCCTTTCTCCCTCAGACCTCAATAGATTGGAATCGCCTTCCTGCACCCAGAGTCTCGATAACTGATGCTACTGATTTTAAAATTGCCATTACTAAGTTTTTTGATGTTCAATAACTTTTGTTTTATGTCTTGCCTTATCTATCGTTATACTCATATGTTTCCGTTAAAAAAAAAACCCACTCCTCTCTGTAATGCCTTCGGGCCCTGAGAGAACAATAAATGAAATGAAATGAAATGAAACAAAAAATATTCCGCGCTATATTTAGCGGAAAAAATTACCCGTTACATTGAGACGTCACCTCCTTGTGGCCTCTTTTCTTCTCGTCCCTTTTCCGAAATACCCCAGTCTCGGGTTAAACAAAACTATGGTTAACTTCCACCAGCTCGCCTGCACCCTTACAATTTTTTTACCCGCTAAATTTGGCGGGAAAATTTCCCCGCTAAATTTAGCAGAAAAATTTACCAACTAAATTTGGGAGAAAATTTCCCCCGCTAAATTTAGGGAAAAAATTTTCTGGCCACATTTAGCGTAAAATTTTCCCCGCCAAATTTAGCGGCAAAAATTCCCCGCAAAATTTAGCGGCAAAAATTCCGCGCAAGATTTAGTGGAAAAAAATTCCCCGCTAGATTTGGCGGGGAAATTTCCCCGTTAAATTTAACGGAAAAAATCACCGCTAAATTTAGGTCACGTGACCCCCATCACGTTACGTGACCCCCCTGAGGTCACTGACCCCTTCCTGAGGTCCTCTGACCCGTCCTGAGGCCACGTGACCCCCCTGAGGTCATGTGACCCCCTGAGGTCACATGACCCCCCTGAGGTGACGTGACCCCCCTTGATGTCACGTGACCCCTCCCTAAGGTCACGTGACCCCCCCCCCCCCCCTGAGGTCACGTGACCTCAGGGAGTCACCCATCCCTCAGCACCCTTCCATCCTCCTCCTCAAGAGCTGCGCCCTAATCCGGCGTTACAAGGAGTTGTAAACGGCTTTAATTCTTTTGTTCCCAGAAATAGTGCAATACTTTATTAAATACCTCGAGAAATTCTATTTGCCATAGAGTGCAAAAGAAAAGATAAAACGTGGCAATTTAGCCGCCGCCAACGTCCGGAATGGCACCTACGCAGCCTGCCACAGCCCACCTATGAGAAAACCCACAGCCCAGCGCAGTCAGGCAACACTGGCGGACACTCTCTAAACAAAGGACGCGCTCTGTAAATCGCTTCGTTCGAGACTGCCGCTGGAAAGGTCCATAAACGGCGAGGCGGGAGTCCAAAGATGGCGGAAGAAACGGGAATAGATTCTCCAGGATTTTTCGTGCCGTTCAGTGACGCTGGTCAGTGTGGTAAAATTTATTTATTTTGCTATAAATACGAAGCGGTCAGATGACGGAGATGTTAACGTCCGTTATGAAAACAAGGATCTTGATTTTGAAAAGTTGCGAAACGGAACACAATATTACCTATATTAACGCACTCGCATTTTTCGTTAAAACTGTTTGACGCATGAACACGCCGACTAGACCATGCGGTAACAGCCACATCAAGGCCGATAGTCGCCGACAGTTCCTGCTACCGTCGCCGTCCCCGTTCCTCTGGTTCTTCGTTCGTCCGCGAGAGGGCGAGCGGCGGGCTGGAGTTGCGAATAGGCACTTGGCGAGCCGTGTCGAGCTGGCTTGTGGCAGGCCGAAACCTTTTCTCTTTAAAAGAACGAGGACCAAGAGGGTGAGGAGTTTTGGTTAAGTTTCTACAACGAAGAAAGTTCAAGTAACATATGAGCAGTTGAATGTAGCTTGATATATGTACATGTAAGCACTGTGAGTTAACTAATTTTGGTCCCTTTTTTTAACAGTCACGAAGTAGTCAACATTCATCTTGAGAAGAGACCGGAGTGGGCTTCCGAAGTCCTTCAGAACGGGACAGTGCCTGTACTGCAACAGGACGACAAGCGGGTCAGCGGATCCATGGTCATCGCAGAATACCTAGAAGAAGCTTACTGCACACCTAAACTCCTTCCCTCGGATCCTTACCTGAGGGCTCTGGACAGAAGCTTCTTGGAAGCGGCCCTACCAGTAAGTCCGATGCACGATTTACATGAAGTGATTTTACTTGAGATTGCGCAGTTGCGACGTCGCTCACGAGGCTAACGAAAGCTTGTTGGAAGCTGCGGAGAAAACGCAGCAGCAGCAAAATCGCAAAAAAAAAAAAAAATACAGCATTCGGATTAGACTTATACTTGGCCCGAATCAAAATACAGTGACGACGAAGCATGGTTATAACCTAACGCCGGCAGTCTGTGATCAGTTCGTACATCGGTGCAGGTTCCTGTATAAATATTGGGGTATTTGTTGCTCCTCATTCATTTTGAGTTTTAAATTGCTCGTCACGTGAGTCGGAACGTGCTCCATAATTAGACTTCTACGCGTGATTTTTTAGCTCGTATTTTACTATACTCTTTCTCGTTTTCTAGTTGTTGTTTTTGCCACTCTATCAGCCCTACAGAAGACAGTAAGTCTTAACAATAATTATCTTAACCCATACTTCATCATCATACTTCATGGTCCAATGCCTTTTCTTCTAAATGAGAAAGTATCAGTAAAATCTTGCGTCAATTAAATTACAAGCTTTCTACAGCGTGTCAACGAAAAAAAGTTCACAGTGTTTGTTTGTTTTCAATAGAAAAATAAGCTACGCGTTCCCCCCGAGCGCTCCATCTCCTCCCTTATGTACAGCGCTAGCAGTCCAAACAAGGTGCCAGATTTTCAGAACACTGCTTCAGCTTATTCGGCATCTATGCGATTTTTTGGAAGTTTCAACGGGAAGATTGGGCACGTTCCCGGTAGCTGACGCCATGTATCGCCTCGTATTAGTGGGCTTCGTCGACAGGAATTTTCCCCTTTTTTGATAATTGCGCTTAACTTTTGAATCAGACGCCGGCACGCTCTGAAACATGGGCATCCAGTCCAGACCGATAGCACTACATTTGTGCAGGGCTGAGCGTTCAGCAATGCGTTATTTAAAGGGGCTATGAAACAATTTTTGTACTTTGCGCAAATACCGTTTAGAACGGATCCCTGACGTCATTGAGCTATGAAACACGCGTTCGTTTTTCACCCCACGCAATAGAAATCCCAGAAAAAAAATTGAAAAAAAAAACGAGCAGCGTTCTTTCCCTCAACTCGCAGCCAGAACAAGTTGCCACGTGATCTGGAACCGATTATATGCCGCCAATGTTAATAATGGCCACGCGCTGGGGTTGGCGAAGCACAGGACACGCGCTGAGTTCCAGACATTGTTATGGCTCGGCTATTATCGCCGTTGCAGCGATTGGACACGGGCACGGACGCGGGCGACTACCCGAATGCTTCTCGAGCTAATAATTATCACGAGCCCAAATCGAATGCCCACGCAATGCTCGGGTCCAACCTATGAACCGCGTTCGAATATCGTCACTGGGGTGTACTGCGCTCCCCACGTTACGTCATCAAATTTTGCAAAGGAGAGATAAAATGAAAATTATCGCTTTTGTCCTTGAAATTACACCGGAACAAAGGAGTTTTTGGCCAGTGTCGTTGCGTGCGAGTATCCTTGAGTCCCACTAGTGCCACTAAGCTCGTGTAAAGTGAAAAAAACATTCCATCTGAATATCGTTGCACCGCCCCCTTAATTTGAAAGGTACAAAAAAAATGGAAACACTGTAGTTTTTTTTAGTTGGGCTTCCAGCTATGGATACCAGGGACAAGCTGTACGTGTTATCTAAAAGAGCATTGTCTTTTGTAGCTGCCCTATGCTATCACGTCGAATGTTTCAAAGTGCCTAAGGGCTAATGAAGACGTCCTTTTGTTTGGCTATCTATCTTCTCTGTAAGTTTTAAAAATTATAATCTAATCTAATTTAAAGAAAAAAAAAACGATTCGGGGATTTTACGGAAACTCATCGTCACCCGTGTTTCCTCGTGCTGTGTTCCTCACCTGGTTGTTTACTAAAAATAAATATATCTATACTCCGCCTCACTCTACGATGGACTGGGGTTGAAAGGTGGTTAATGGAGCACAACGTCAGAAAAGCTTAAATCCGCATTGCGAAAGAGTGCGCGAGAAAAATTTCGACTTCCAGAGTACGAAGAGCACTAATCTTATGCATATGATTTTCTGTCGTGATAGCGCACTATTTTATATCGGTGAAGTAATGGTACATTGTATTTAGTTTCATTAAAAGTCATGCTATATTTTGTAAACATATAAACTGTTTGGAGAGATTGGAGGGCGCCCACGCAACACTGACATAAAGTCGTTCAGCCTTAGCCAAAACAATCCCATCCAATCCAATCTTTGAGTACGTATACCCGGACCCGTTTCCGCACGTGGCCCGCACATACGCTCCCGTGTCGAACTCTCGACCCGACTAATCTTCATTTCTTAATGGCCACTGGTTTTGATTCCGGGTTCTCTTCGCCAAATCGCTTCTAGACCGTATTTAATCCCTTCAGTAGTCTTCAGTAGTAGCAAGCAGACGGAGCCGCCGCTAGGGCTCGATAAGCGGACGAAAAACTCGCCTCCGCATGACGCGTCTTGGTGCATTGATACATACGACGGAGCAAATATACCACATGGTTTCTAACAGGCTTCTGATTGGACCCTGCGGCCTGTTGCATTGGGCTTTAGTCCATCGTAGGATGAGACGGAGTATAAGGCTAAAATATTTCGCAAAGTACAATAAATATGGCTTAACGATGTCTTCCCTTTCAGGTTCTCCAACCGCTTTTAAAGTTTTACTTCAAGTGTGGATCAGACGCCGATGAAGACTGGGATGCCTTTTGTGAGAAGGCATACATTTTTGAGCAAGAACTTGGTTCACGCAAAACAAAGTATTTATCAGGCAAGCTCCCTCTTTACAACACCTGATTCTTTTTTTCTTTTTTCAAATATAAACTGCCAGTATCCTTCACATTACACGGAAAGTTATTCGTTTGTGCTTACGGGGAAATTCCGATGGTTGCATTCCAGAAAGCGCTCAACACCTCTTTGCTTCATATTTTTTTATCCGTTCATAAACAGGAACTAATGTTGGCTACCTTAAACGCGCTAGCCTCGAGCATTTTGACATCGCTTCAAATCCATCATAAGAGAGCGTTATGACGTTTGTTCTAGATTTTTGTTTTTAAATTTCCGTCATTAAAAGTTATGCGGCGCAAAACTATGGGAGAGAAGGAGAGGAGAGAGCGCTCGGGTACGTCAGAACGCCGAGCTCTGACTGGAAGGACTAGCGGGTAGACCTAAGGCTAGCTGCGTTTGTCTCCACTGTACTCGTCGAACGCGGTCGAACGCGGTCCAGCTTTCCGAGTTCGTGTTCGCGTTCGAGCGCATTCGAAGACTGGGGAGAGGCGAAGGCAGCTGCTTTACCCACTAATCATTCCAGTCAGAGCTCGGCGTTCTGAAGTCCCCGAGCGCTCGGTTAGGTGGGATATTTGTGTAAAGTCATCGCTAATTTAACTCTATTTCCTTTAATTTTTCTGTCAGTGTCCGAAGCCATTGCAGAGATTAGTGGGCACTGTAAAATAAACATAAACGTAAAAAAAGGGAAACTACAAAATTTGTACGAGACATTAGTTGACAAATTAGTAATTGTGAATCTAAAATCAGCGCTGCTATTAATTGAAACTATGAATGCGGGAAGAGGATTCCCGCTGTCATAGTTTGACCGATGACCGTCGCTTGTTGAGTTCTCAGCAGTTTCAGGCAGTAAACTTATATGGGTCTGCATAACCACCTTGTGTGCGTGTCTGAAAGAATTTTTTTTATGTTTTAGCATTAGAACGTTTGTTTTGACGAAAACCAGGCGGTGTATTTCGTTTGTCAGCACCAGGGAAAGAGGGAGAAGAAGGGGTAGAGGGTGACGCGTACGACGCTCCCATTAGCTCGAAGCGCTAACGTCAGCACGCGTCAACCTCTCCCTCTCTCTCTGGCGCTTACAAACTGACAGAGACCACTGGCTTTTCGTCAAAACGAGCCGTCGCCGGTTGTACTAGAGCGCGACACTGTTAACGCGAACAATCCATCGCCGTTTTTTTCAGTTTTTCTCTTTGAAACCAAGGGATGTCATTCAACTTATTATTGCTACGGAAAGAGCTCATTTAGTTCTATAATGTAAGCGATAAAATTTCGTGATCGCTGTTACTATTTAGAAGTAAAATGCGAAAAGGAGCCGATGTCGTGTTCGCGCTAATAGTGTCGCGATGTGTACTTCGCTCTGGGTTTCCGTAGTAGCGGTGCGTGGGCTGTGATGTGTGTGAGTAGTTAAAAGGATAGATGCTGTTCCCTCCATGAGTAATAGGGATGCCGCGAACCACCCGAGGTTCGAATTCGAAAGGTTTTGATATTTTCGACCCGAACTGAGGTTCGATTTCGAAAACTTTCGATAATTTCGACCGTACCGAGGTTCGAGTTCGAAAAGTTCGCAACTTTCAAACACCGTGCAGTTTCGAATTCGAAAAGGTCCGTAGCTTTCACGGTCTCTAAAAGTTCGGGTTTCATTATGTCGAATATTTTTTTTACTTGAGGTTCGAGAAATTTGAAGATTTCGAACTTTCCTAAATTGAAATTCGAGAGATTCGAATATTTTGAACTTGTTGAAATCTAAAGTTAGAAAAATTTGAAGATTTCAAATTTATTTAAATCTGAAGTTCGAAATTTCACAGATTTCTAATTTCTTTGGATCTCAAATTCGAATAATTGGAACGTTTCGAAATTTATAGACATAAAGTTCGATAAATTCGAAGATTTCGATTTTTTTCCTCCATAAAGTTGGAAAAGTTTGAAGGTTTCGATTCTCTTTTAGGGCTAACTTCGAAGTTTTTGAATTTCTTTCAAGTTCAAGTGCGCAAAGTTTGAAGTCCGCTTTTCATGTTCCTCCACAGTTTCAATTTCAAATAACGTTTTCGCGCCTCACTGGTTTTCACACAATTAGGTTTATAAATGTTCGGGTGTGATATTTGGACTGCGCGAAGTTCGTCAGGCAATTAAATGAGACGACGAGTGTCCCGGATGTGCTGAAATATTTGCCAGTGCAGAGTGACGTGTGACCGTAGATTAGTAATTGTGACCGCCAGCCCGGGGGGGGGGGGGGGGGGGGGGCGGGTCGGGGGGGGGGGGGGGGGAGGGGTCTTTAACGTGCATCACGCAGTAGTGACCACACGAACGCACTGTATAACGATACTCATCCAGTGTTCGAAACGGCCAGGGGCAGGCATGTGTTTGAGGCTCAGAAAAACCTTGAAGCGATCTGGCAAACTGCCTCCCTCCCCCTTGCACGCTGGTAGTAATCCGATTGAACGCCGCCCGAGTGACGCTGGCATATAGTAAGTTTAGTTTGTACATGATGCAACATCCTGAGGCTGGGAATGAAATTTGAAAGAAAAAGTGTAAGAAGACAGAAAAAAAGGAGACAGGACAACGCCTGAAACTCAGCTCTGGGAATGAAATTTGAAAGAAAAAGTGTAAGAAGACAGAAAAAAAGGAGACAGGACAACGTCTCAAACTCAGCTCAGGACAACGTCTCAAACTCAACTCAGCTGAGTTTGAGACGTTGTCTTGTCCCTTTTTTTGTCTTCTTACACATTTTCTTTAGAATTTCATTCCCAGTCTCAGGATTTTGCATCATGATCAACATACACCAGCTCGCCTGCACCTTGAAAATTTTGAAGTTTGTAATTGCTTTTGAGGTTTATTTTCCTGGGCGGAAGAAACACCGAGCAAAAAGCACGAAAGCCGACACAACTCGAGGTCGAGGAGCGTTCTACCATACCAGTGGTGTCGAAAGAGGAAAAATGATGAGAAAAGAAGGAGGGGGGGGGGGGGGGGCTCCAGTGCCCCCCCCCCCCCCCCCCTCCGCCTTCAGATATTTCGGACTGTTAAAGAAAACAATACGGGGAAAGAGGGCGTGGTCGAGCTTATTTTAATCTGAAATTATTTATGCATACTGTCGGCTCTTCACGGCATAAAATATCGCGTAGATGGTCATTGTTAGAAACTCGTTGTCAGAAGGCACTACTCGTCACATGCTTAGTGGTTCGGAAGTTCAAATCTATGCCTTTCGACCTAAAAAACTGTGCCATTGGTAAAAAAAAGACAAAAAAAGCATGACAATAAATGTAAAGATGAAAAGCTGGAGAAACAAAAAAACAATCAAGAATTCCCGCCGGAAGTATTGTATTCTTGCATATTCAGAGGCCCAGAACTTTGAAACAAGTTTCTCCTTCCAAAATCTGTACAGGCTAGAAAAAAAAAAAAAAAAAAAAAAAAACACGTTTCAGAAACGTAAAATGAGAAAATAAACAAAAATTAAAATGGATTTTTTTATGACTTGCTGCACTTGAACACTATTAGAAATCTTCCCCCATGAGTTAATTTATTCCTCAACGTGGAAAAAACAATAAATACATTATTTTGTATTCTGCAGATGGTAATGATACGTACTGTCTGTGGTGTTAAATGCGATGCCTCAAACAATTTAGACGAAAACAATGACCAAGTTTAGGGCATAATTGCCCGTAGATACAGGTTTGGACATTTCTTCGAAATTTGTCTTGAACAACAATAATCATATCTTAAGACGGCACTTACCTAGGCTATACATAGATCATTCTTAAAAAAGTTTAGCATCTCTACCATAAATAGCTTCGACTATAGCACGCTTCAAATTTGGCACAAACGACCAATTGTCCTTTGTCGCTACTGCGGGAATTTATTTCTCTAAAACTAAGCATGCCAGAACATTGAAATAAACGGCATTGTCTTTCGCAAGGAATGCAACACCGCATGTAAAAATGAAAAAAAAAAATATATTACGAATGTACCTCACTGCTTGAATCCAAATGAAACCGCCCGCCGGTCTTTCGAAGTTCGTCGAACTTCGAACTGTTACCCTAAAAGGTCCAAGTTCGTCGAACGTTTGACTTCCCAGGATTTGAAAGTTTTAACATTTTCGAATTCTTTACATAAATAAGATCGAACTTTCGAAAATTATCGAATTTCTTAGCGTAGGAAGGTCGAAGGTTCGAAAAGCTTCGAACTTTTTAGTGCAAGAAGTTCAAAAGTTCGAAAATCATCGAGTTTTTTAGTCTATCAAGTTCGAAAGTTCGACAAGCATCAAATTTTGCTGCGTAATAAGTTCGAAAGTTCGAGAAGAACCGAACTTTTTAGCGTAATAAGGTTGAAGGTTCCAAAAACATTACAGTTCTGAACGTGCGATGTTTGAAATCTTGAAGAAACGTCGAACTTCTTAGTTTAACAAGGTCGAAAATTCGACTTCCGTCGAATTTCTTGATATGGAAAGTTCGAAAATTCAAAATCTTTCGAACCTTTCGAACGGCTTTGATCAATCATCGAACCTTCGGGTCGAAAAAAGTTCGCGGTATCGCATTGAGTAATATGGATGCGGTTCCTTCCACAAGTGGTATGGATGTGATCCTTTCCATTCTTTCCACGTGTGATACGGATGATCGTATCGAAGGGCGTCGACGTACTCTGGCAGGCACAGTACAGAAAAGGGGTAAAAACATTTACACAAAGATACATCGGTGGATCATAGCGATTGCTTTAGCGTGACGCTTGGGAAACGCCAGACACGTCCCCCTTTGGGAATCGCTAACACTGACCCCGTAACGAGGCCAAAAAGAGGCAACAAAATATACAGGCAGCCAAAGAGAACGCCCAGAACAGAAAAGTGAAGGGGTCAGTGTTAGCGATTTCCAAAGGCGGACGTGTGTCGCGTTACCCAACGGATATTTCTGTTTTTTTTTTGTTTTTTGTTTTTTTATCAGCGCATAAATAATCGCTTATCGCGGAACACCTAAACCTAACCGGAAGTTAAAGTTACGCAGTGAAGGCGGAATGAGAAACGCTTCAGCCTAATTTGCTACATAATTAAAATATAAATTGTTAAGGTTTTTTGTGTTTTTTTTGCGATCTCAAACACATCTTTACTATCGGCTGCAGACATAGTCTCACATAGCAGCTATTTGACGAAGCAAGTTCTATGCAATGACGCCACCGCATAGAAACTGCAAAAGGTTGTTCCGCATAAGCGAATATTAGTCAGCATTACGTCTGAATTGCTGTTCAAAAAAGTAGCTGGTCTCTTTCTGGAACCAACGAAGGACAACAAACTGTCATTCAAATCTACAAATAATAAAAAGACAAAAAGGAAACGCGACTAACTTTTGATTTTTTAACGTGATGGGCTGAACATTTCGGATGTAACTTACGACCAGGGGCGGATTTAGAGGGGGGTCCGGATGTCCTGACCCCCCTCTTGATTTCTGCATTTGTAAAAAATAGGGCATAAAACGAGGGAGAGGGGGAGGGGGTTCCTAAACATATGGTACGCTGGCTAACACCTCACCGCCCCCCCCCCCTCAGGAAATTCCTGCATCCGCCCCTGCTTACGACCACCTTTGAGCGAAGTATGAATATTCTACTCTTCACAATTCATCAAGGAAAATCAGTAGATGGTTTTGGCGCTCCGATGACGATAACTGTCAGTACGATTCACGCACAAAGGCGCCTACGAAGTATTTTTATCGCAATGCCAAGAACAATATACGAAAAACTACCTCTCACTGCGCTGTGACAAACACCTAAACGACTTCTCCGTCAGACCCGGCGGTAAAAAGAAGCACTAGATTTGCCTCCACGCATAAGTATAGCCACTGGCTATACTTGTGCGCGGCGTGTTTTGAATGCCATAATATCAGATCTTTAACGGATCATCAAACTGATCAGAAACTTAATCTGTACAACAGACCAACAAACAACAAAGAAATATTTGACCAACTTTTTAGCCACAATCTCGAGCTCCTTTATATACTTAACCTTTTGCATATAAGATGAACGTTAGGTATTTTGAATGACTCACTCTAGTCAGTGACAGGTCAAGATTTCATTAAGACCCTGCCTCCAGCTCGAGCTTTCTACCATTGCTAACACTTTGGTGGACGCGCAGCCGTCGGTGTAACAACAAGCGCGTGCTGAAGGCGGAGCAGGACGCCGGCGTCCTGCTCCGCCTTCCATAGGGCGCCCTAGAGTTTGAAGACCGGTGGCTTCGCTGCGTTTCCATAGGAGCTAGGCCTTTTTCTTTTTTACTTTTTCCTCAGGTAAACTCGCTCTTTGCGAATTTTATAGAAAAAATGCACCACCTGTGGTTAAGAAGGTTACGAAACCGAATTTTACGGTCGATTTAAAGAGCCTGGCCGCTCCTTGATACACCCAGTAAATATTCGCTCTCCTAATAACAACGTCAGGTTCATTGGTACTTTTATCTTTGAATGAAAATGCCTCCGAGTGTATCAAACTCGTAATATAAAGTCATGTCTAGAATTCCTGGTAAGACCGCATAGAAATTATTGATATTATGTGCAAACATTTCGATCATCAACGTTTTGTTTCCACGCCGTACTGCTAAAACATAGTACCCTCTGCAGTTTTTAATATATTTGTGTGTTTCAGGAGACAAGCCTGGCTTTGTTGACTTCGTCACTTGGCCCACATTTGCAATGGCGCAAGCACTTTCCACGATTTACCAAGAGACGAAGATGCCAACCGATGAACAACGTCCTCTATTCTCTAAATGGTGCAGAAACATGCGGCAAGACCCCGTCGTGACTTCTGTGATAAACGAAGCGAGCACGCTCGAATTCGTCAAAAGTGCCCGGCGTGGTGCCAGAGATTTTAACGCTGGGCTGTGAAAGCAGTGCGTTGCCAGTGGGATTGTGTCGCAACGATTATAAATAGTGGTATTTTGGAAGTGTTAAAAAGACAAAAAAAAAATTTTAAAAGGTCTGCTGATGATTCAATCTCACTTTAGAAACTCTAAGTATCTCAGGAAACCGAATATAACAATCATGGTTGGCTTTATATTTATTATATACAGAATCAAACATCGCGTCACGCACCTTTTTACGGATAGTTCTAGAAACCCAGTGTTTAAATTATGCGTGGCCTCTTTCTCTATCAAAACGGCAGCAAACGTCGCGACACGCCCATTTGTCCAAAGCCTCCAAAATTGTATCGTGTGTATGTTGAAACAGCAGGAAGGTAATCAATCCCAATGGGTGACTGATACTGATCGTGTCCGAGTGGACCACGATCAGTATCACGTAACTCTCCCGAGGTACGGAATAATTTTTTCACGCATCAATAATTGTTTTTATAAACACGAGATACTAATAGACAGTCAACATGGCTTTCGTCAAGGAAAATAAACAGAAACAGCACTTTTAACAATGAAGGAACTTATCATTAAAAATATTGAAGGAAATCGGCTTACCCTCGGAGTATTTATAGACTATAGTAAGGCATTCGATTACATAAATCACGAGATATTGCAAGAAAAGTTGCACGCATACGGTGTCCGCGGTGTTGCCCAATCGTTGTTTCAGTCTTATCTTTACGACCGGAAGCAGTGCGTATCAATATATAATAACATTTCATCTTCCAAATTAGTTACTGCCGGTGTTCCACAAGGAAGTGTTCTAGGACCGTTCCTTTTCAATGTGTATATTAATGATGTTGTTCAGCAAGATAGTAACGCAGTCTACGTTATCTATGCGGATGACATGAGCCTGTTTATTTCCGGATGGGGTACAAATGAAATATTTTAAAAGCTGAAAGGGAACTTTCGAAACTGTGGCACTGGTCCAATGAGAATGGTCTAAAAATAAATAAAAATAAATCTAAGGCTATTTTATTCAAAACTACACATAAGCAGACACAAATAATACAGGATATATTACTCGGTGATACTTCTATATGAAATAGTTCACAAACACAGGATCCTTGGAGTTACAGTTTCTGCCAATATGACATGAACAGATCATATTGAAGCTTTAGCTAAGTCCTTATCATCGGCGACAGGAGCCTTGTCACGATGTCAACACATCCTTCCATATAATGCAAAACTTCATATTTATCATGCCCTATTCACTTCACACATAAATTACTGCACGCTCGTATGGGGCACGACAACAGCAGGAAACGTACACACCATCCTTGTTCTTCAAAAAAAAAAGCGATTCGATATATTGCTAATGTGCCACGATTACACTCAACCGCACAACTGTACACTCAGTATGGTATAATAAGCGTAAAAATATATATGAATTTCGTTTATTGCATTCTTTGTTCTTGCCAAATGAAAGTTTCAGCTCCTTTTTAAAAAGGACATCTGACTTATCGAAACAAATAAGTGACCCTCGCACCTGCAGCTGTGACAGGTGGTTAGTGCCGCGCCGGCGCACTGAATACTTCTCGGAGTCGCTGACATATAACGTACCTTTTATTCTAAACAAGTATCTAGAACAAAATATTTACTTTGATGCATTTACTGGAAAACAAATGCGAGAATTTTTTTTTTTTTTTGTAAACAACATATGATAATGCATTAGTCTCTATCTTGCATATGGGAAAGTTTTGGTGTTGAAGCCTTTTTTTGTAATTTTTGCTAGAAAACAGGCCATGTGAGAAATTTGATCTATGTCATTTATAATTCCTTCAACGGTTCATAATCTTTATATAGTTTTTGACATGTACCATGTAGAATTGTATACATTCACATGGTGTTTATGTGTACTCATATTGTTACGGGTCATATTTTTTTGTATTTTTTCACGATATGTTGCTGTCTGTATGGGCCCCCAGGCACTCTCAAGCTGTCAATGACAGCTTTTTCGCCCGGGGACCCCCAACACTGTGTTGGAAATAAAAATTGAATTGAATTGAATATAGGAGAATCTGTATTCAGGATACCAGAAGATGGTGTTTGCTAAGATCTTCATGACTGCCATACCTGAATAGGTATCATAAAACATAGCCTCCTTTGTACAGATTATGCGTGCATTATTGCCGGTTGCCAGCTTTCACCCCAAGGGTGCACTGCTTCCCCATAAAAGACAAACTGTGAACTATGCGAACGACGTGAATAAGCCTCCCTCGTGCATTCTAGTTTTATTGGAGCTTTCTTGGCGTTGGTCGTGGTACCTGTGGGTCAAGAACGTTCCGGGGCTGTCATTTTACGACACTCCAAGCAACACCCGTGACCATGTAAAGTGACTGAACCTCATTTTGAGGTAAGGCCGCGTCCCAAATTCTACCTCCTACTACTTAGTAATATGTTGTAGGCACCTTTTTGCGACGGGCATTAAGGAAGGCCTGTCCGGCCCCCCTTCGTGCATTCTGCTGAAGCTTCACTCAAAGCCCAGCTTGGCTCAGGCCTCTCTGGTGTCTGGTGTCTCTGGTGTATGGGTTCAATGTTCTATGTTTTATGTTCAAATCTGGATTAGCCCATGCAACCTTCCAGGTCTTCTTTTCGTGCTGCTTTACCGGCTCTCAGTGTTTACCTAACCACATCTTTCTGGCGCACCTCGAGGATTATAGTGACCGGCACCTGAAAACAGGCACAATGCGTCATTACGAAACGTGAGCCCCGGCACAGCTAACACCTTCCACACTGATTAGGTGACTTTGTGGCGGTTGTTACCCCAGAGGACCGTGGCCGTTGCTATTCCTCTTCACCTTCTGAACTTCGGAGACCAACCATGTAGTAAAACAAAGCATGCCCTACCTTTCAGAATGTTAGCACCCTTTTCAGCATCATTGCCGTTGTTCGCAGTGCTCTGTTTGTTCGTAGTTTAAATGATAATACGAAAACATCTCTTATGTCATTCATGGTCCTCGCAGTTACTTCGCAGAACGTGAGAACAGTCAAACTGCATACAGCTGGCACTGCAGAGATATGACCAAAATATGCGGTTGCCATTTCTTCTTGTATTTCGCGTGCAGTGGTGCTTTTTGCGAGATCTTTTCTCCGTCGTCCAGGTCACCGTAATGCGACATCGGGACGTGCAATGCCACAGTGTCATAAGACGCTAGATAAGATTGATGTGAGGACCATTGTACAATAGTCTGTCTTTATCGTGCATGTGTTTCACGTTTACTTTGACAACTGATGCAATGAAAAGAGTTTTTGGTGGAGGCTATCGAGTTGGCAGGTTACGAGCTCCTGAACATTCAGCTAATTGATGATTTCACTTGGCTACTCGTTTTGATGGAATGTCTATACTTGAAGGTAGTTTTCCATTATCTATTCATTGGTTGGTTTATTCGAAAGTAACTCAATCGATGTGTCTAAGTAATCTCCATGGAAAAGCTTTGCTAAGACGAAACTAGGGCACCTAGTTGCACTAGCTTTGACAATTATTTTCTTAAGACCAATATAAGACCACCTAATTTTATTTTGGGCAAGCTGGCAATCTGCAGAAGAAGAATGACCCAGATTTAGCATGAGGTTATAGGTTTGATATGAGTAAATTTTATTTGTAGCTGAAAGAGAGGTGTCACACTTATTTAGAAAGACAAGTTGAACAAAAAAAAATCGTTCAGCCTTTCCACTCTCGTGAAGAAGAAAGACCAGCGGAGCTGTACTCGATACACTGTGTGCTTCTTCTTCGTCGTCGCCTGTTTTTCGGGCTGTTTCCTACGATGAATTCCCACCAACGCGCCGCCCAACTATCCATTCTTCGATGATAGCTGGAAAGGTTAGCGCCATCTACGAGCGACGGCGGCAACCTTACGGTTGTGAGCTTGCCGCTGTCGCTTATAGACTTTTTCTGTTTACTCTCGTCTCCAGCCACCTAATAGGCGTATCCGGTATGGGCGACGAAAAAATAATCGAACGTTTCAACCTGCAAATAGTAAAAAAATAAAGGGGAGGCAAAACGAGAATGAGTGACGGTTACGCTTATATCCTAAATGCCTTCTATTGGCGTGGCGACGGCAAAACAATGTTTTCGCCCATACTGGAAGTGATGTCAATTCAAGATGGCGGCGCACTTGCAGAAAAGGTCTATAGATGGCGGTAGCTGTCCAGGTAGGTTTGTGTCGACATGCCGGACACGATTCTGGGGAACCTGTCCCTTAACAGCTCCACTGTAAAACATTATTTTGGCTAAGAAAGCTGTGAATACAGCTTTCATTATTTTGGGAACGTTTTACTTTGTAGCAATGAGTTCATCTATGATGACTATATAATCAATGATTTTGAAATGTAATTGCAACACTCCTACGTTTTCTAGTTCACTTGGAGCATGTAATATACGTCGGACATGAAAGACAACCTCACTTGAGCGTCCATCATATGTCTGAGCTGTGCCTTCATTTTTTTTCAGTTGAGGTTGATCTCTCGCTTGGCTCGATCAGTATCAACTTCATATATTGATTTTTTTTTTACAGGGTCGCGTCGCCACGCTTGTGGCGACGCTTCTGCGCTTGTGGGTGTTTGGTAAGTGGCGTCAACAATCACCATGAGCCCTGAACCCAGCGTGGGTTCAGACACCATGCGTGCCTGCCTGTGCTAGGTGTGCACGTGTCTGATGAAATTGGGGCACTTGAGCCAAGGTCGGGGTAGGTTTCCTTCAAGCCCACCCCGGGTTTGGCAAAACACCACCCCAGCCCGCTTTCTGCACAGACATGTGTCGTGCGTTGGCTCACCCAGGACGATTCGGTCAGTCGATTTTCTTCACCTCTCCTTTCTTCTGACTTCCTTCTCCATCCCTCGTCTGAACATCTCATCTTTCTGATGTAACAAAATTGTTTGAAAGGAAAGAAGAATTATATTGCCCATGGGTGTTGAAAGCCACCAAGTTCTGACATAGTGACACCAAACACTTTACACTGAAAATATCTCACTCCGTGAAAATCCAATGTCATTGGCACGAATAGGCTTTGCCCAGTTGAAACCACTGGATGCGCAGCAGCCTTACCCCCCATTCACACTGGAAGCGGATCCGCGTTCGCGAAGCGGTTGCGAAAGCGGTTGTATAAAGATCCAGTGCAATTGCACGCGCATTTGATGTCATCGTGTGCGCGTGAAATTGTACTAATCCTTATACAACCGCGTTCGCAACCGCTTTGCGAACGCGGATCCGCTTCCAGTGTGAATAAGCCCTTAGGGTACACTGTACTAGAATACTTGGGTAGTGTTGGGACCGGAGCGGCTCGGCAACGGGAGCTCGTGAGGGCGCGTGTAATACTGACAGTTCGTGGCGGCGCTGTAGTCAAGTTATCCGAAAAAAAAACGCGCAGCACGCCTTTTTTTTTTCTTTCACTTTGAGCGGTGCACGTGTCGGTACCACGATTTTATACACTCCGTTTCACCTTATGTTGTACCGCAGCGAAGGCTAGAAGCGCGAGCTCATAGCGTTGGCAGCTGCCCTTGGTGCACGAGAGCTTGTGCCGCCGAGATGTGTTCTAAAGCAAGGAGCTCGCGCTTGTAGCCTTTCCTGCGGTGCAACACAAGGTGAAACAGAGTATAGTTCCGTGTATTTTTCACTTCGAGCGGTGCGCGTGTCGGGACCACGATTTCATAGTTCCGTGTGTTCGATCGTAATATGCTTTGAATCTTGTGTTCAGATTTTGCGGATGGTGAACGCGTAAGGGTAGTGCCGAAATGCCGTCGGCGTAACAGCGACAGTACTCTTGAACAACCAGCAACCAACTTAAAAGCTCCTTACTCCCATAATCGAAAAAAGGAAATGGCTACGTCCCAGGAATATCCAATGTTGTGAGTTCATGCTTATGCATGATATCTTTTTATTCTTAACAGAACTTTACAGAATTAATTAAATGGAGGTAGTAGATACGTGTATGTCGTCTGCATTGTACATCCGTAGATCTCGGCGGACCCTACATGGGTGAATAACCGTTGCAATATTTTGATTACTTAGCCGAATGTGGTAATTAACTTTTTAATGAACGGTTTAATAGGCCATGTTGCAACTACAGCTTTAAAGGGAGCCATCATTAAAGGCCACCCCAATTTAGAAAGTTCGCGAACAAACAACGAGCTTTGAGATATTCATCACTAAAACTTTGCCTTTCTTCGCTTAATTAAAAAACCTTGCGCTGAAAGCGCGAATGAGGTTGTGCTGATATTGATGCGTAGAAGAATGACACAGTTATTTCTGTCCCCTCGTCACTACCTCGACAGCGTCTCTTCGGTGGACTCGTCGGCGCCATACATCAAGGCGACTAAGTCACTATTCTACGTATTATTTTCATAACGCAGTTTTTGAATCAAGCGAAGAAAGGCAAACTTTTACGATAAATTTCGCGAACCTCGTTGCCTTTCTGCGTATTGTGGAAATTGTGTTTGCTTTTAATAATGACTGCTTTTAAAACTGCAATTGCACCATGGCCAATTAAGCCGCTAATAAACAAGTTAACTAACAGATTTGGGTTAATTATAAACATTGCAACGATTATTCACCCATTTATTGTCCAGCGAGCCCTACAGATATAACTAAAGGCGGCAACCGCATATCTGCCCCATCCTCTTTTTGTAAAATATGTAAAGTTCTGTAAAG